AGGCAGTGGTAGGCCTTTACTATGAAACAACCACAGGAAACAGTGACAATGTTTAGCATTATAGCTAACCAGTGTTTTACTCCTTGCTTGGAATTTGATCTTACTGTAAAAATATTTTGATATTTTTCTTCACTTCATGTCGGAAAGACGGTTTTAAATGTTATTACAGCTATTAAAGCTGCAAGCAGCGATGAATGGGCCCTCGCAGTCCCTGTGAGTGGGGGCGTGCTGCTGTTAGTTTATGCACCACCACATCATGCTGTGAAATTTTCATGTCAGTCAGATCAAAATAGCCATACAAAGCTTACTTCCTCTTACCAGTAGGTGGTGCTATGACAGAATATTGGCACGTTTGGACCCGATTGGAGAATGTATATTGAAGTTAGGGATAGTGCTAAGCTTAGGGTTTAGTGCTAGGGTTGGGGTCTGGGAGAAACACTGGTTTTTGACACCACACTTCTTTTAATCGTGAACTTCTTCAAAGTGTACTGAACAAATCTGAAGTCAATCTGATTAATTCTCTATGGGGAGTACAAAACAGAACACCTGAAAATGTCAAAAAATCCTAAATGTAATTAAATTAGTGAACTTTCACTGGAGTTTGAAAAAACTTAGTCAGACATATAACCATGTAGTCTGGTTTTGACTTGCTTTCCAGCAAAGATAGACCCACACATGTGTAAAGTTACTCAGATGCTGGCAAGAATTGCTGCACCGGGTGTAGGTTTAATGAATACGGTACCTCTGTGGGACTGTGCAGAGGCAGGGGGTCAATGTTAAAGTCTCCCTGGATGGGGTCCATGCTGTTGAGCTCAACGTTGAAGAGGAAGAAGATAAATCCGTACAGAGCTGGACCCAGACCATTACACAGACCTCTGATCCCTGTTATCATCCCCTGGACCACACCTGCAGGGGGAGACAGACAGGTCATGCTATTGGTCATGTTGGTCAAAGTTATTGCTGACACGGTGAAAACTGTATCTGCTGATATATTTAGCTGGCAACGGGTTGATTTCACGGCCTCCCTTAGCAATACAAACTTCCATCGAAAAAATACATAATAACACAGTGACCTATTGATCTGTGTGACAGAAGGAGAGGAGAGCAGAGGAGAAGAGAGGAGAGGAGAGGAGAGGAGAGGAGAGGAGAGGAGAGCAGAGGAGAGGAGAGGGAGAGGAGAGGAGAGGAG